CCACTATTACTATGCTTAACAAAGTTTTCTTGTGACAAAAACTCCAATGTGACAGATATTAGAGTTGACTTCCTACAACACAAAACAGAAACAAGTGGTTGTTTAATCAAATAATGTGTTTCTAGATGGATAATGTTGAATATCAGATTTGTACTTTCATTTAAAACCTTGTAACATAAGAATTACCAGTTGGTCCTGTCTTACCCCAGCCTGGTCCCATCTTACCCCAATGGGGTATGGGTAAGATGGGACCAGCTCACTTTTTTTAATCTGTACAGAAAACTATGTTAGATGCAAAACGTCTGAGTTTTAACTTAGAAGCCCATTGCATAACTTCACCTTGACCTTGTGATAGGTTTAAGGTTTTATAGTTATTCATGGTATAGATGCTATAGGCTTGTTAGTGATTTCGGTCCTGTCTTACCCCATCTGACTATATATAACAAATGTGTTGGCAACATCATGGAATTGTAGGAAGTGGTTGGTCATCGAGATCCACCAGGATGGCCGGAGCGCTCCAGCACTACTCACTTGAGGAGCTGGTGGGATGCATTTTGAATGCCCTCCTAGAATGCTATTTGTAAAGCGCGTGTCACTTATTTGTTAAGGAAAGCACAGTGCAGGGTCCGCTCCTATTTTTGGCCATAGTGCCATAGCAGATAGTTTTTTAGACTCTTCCTCAAGTTCACTTGTGAGTCCTATAAGTAGACCAGATCACCAATAAAGTATCAAGGATACCAGCATTACCATGCATAAGATATTGTTTAAATCTTGAGTACATGAGGAAATTAAAAGTGAACAGATTCTAAAGAATCTGTGGTTTGCTACTATGTTTTTGGCACCATGCTCCTCAATGTATATGATCATTTAGAATGCCACAATGGTTGGCAATGTCTTCTGAAAATATAGATTTTGATGCTAATGTGATATCAAAGATCTTCAAACATTTGCCTACTCCCTGCACGCTGCTCATTGGATGGTTGAAGTAGCAATATGGCAAAAGCATAATGAAAATATATTTTTAAGCTGGGTGGTGTCTGGTGTGGAAACATATATCTTTAATTGTAGCGTATAAACTGCAATCAAATTTTTTGTTCTCAGTTTACAGATAATATAAAGTAATGAAAATTATTCTACATTATTAATAATGATGATTATTATTTTAAAGAATACAGTAACTTAAATAATCATTACCTATTTTATTATACATGATTACCAGGATTGGAATTTTCTTACTTGTTTTGTTAATAATTAGATAGGAGGTACTAGGTAATTCATCTGGCAGAAATCTCACAGTTCCGGAAATGGCAGGAAACCTCTAGTCATGGCACTAGAAGTAGATGTTTTCCATGTTTGATGATTACTTCATTGTTGATCATTATCATTATTTTTTTTATTAGACATTATTTATCCATTATTGGTTGCTGTCAATGCTGTGCACAATTTCTAGTCTGTACAGTAAGGCCATTTATGTCAAGTTCTTGGCTCAAGGTTTCTATGATCCCATATTGATGTTGTACTATCATGCATGCATAGTGACAGCTCCAATAAGAAACATCAGAGTCATTGTTAGATCACCATCATGAAGATTAGTATCAAAAGTGACATTTTTCATAAATTTGTAATCCAGAGGCTCTTTCATGACAAATGGATAGCAGGTATATAATTCATTCACTAGAACCTTGCTGCTAAAAAAACGGCAGGAAAGCTTATGTTGCAGCTCTGTGGGTATGCATATATATATTCAATGCATGTAATTGAGATTTCACATGCAATGTGCATATCTCAATCATTTGTCATTTAGATCATAAATTGCCAAGTACAAGGATTTTTGATGATTTCCACCTGCCTTAATTGTACCTCAGCTACATTGGACATTAAATTTAGCAACCTTTGTTGTGCTACATTTTGCAGTCTTGTCTGCTATGGCCAGACTATTTATGACACAATATAGGTCAAAAAAGACAAATTCATTGCACCAAAGACATCAAGATACTCATTTATACCTATAAATCAATAGTTTGTGATTAGACATATTAATTTAAGGTTGTTGATGTAGAGCTTGAACAGATGCTGATAGTTTGAGCTGAAAGTCAATACTTTACAGTCTTGTCTGCCAAGATCCTACCATGGCATATTTGTACAGATTGTCAGGTCAATGTCGTCAGGTGCGTACTTGCCTGTACCAGGCAAGTACCAGGCCCAGTTTGTGAAGTAGCACACCACTATGTAGTTCTCTGGTATGGCGAAATAAAATTTGGAAATTATGCCCACTTTTCATGGACTTGCACTTAGATTTGAGCTAAAAGTTTGTCATCCTTGACCTCTATCATCTTACTCTATTGTTTGGATTGCTGTAAGCAATCTTGATATATTGGTTGATTTGCAATCAATTAATTGTAAGTCAATCATGATTTGCAATGAAAAGAGCCCCAAGGAAAATATTTTACTGGTAACATTGCACTCAACAATTGTTATTTAAATTTCAGTAGTTATCATGATAACAATCCATAAAATTACCAATTGAATAAAAATACATTAACATCAATCACTGAGATACAAAATTTTTAAAATAACCTTATTTTGAAGCTGCAATATTTACATAAGAAGCGTCAGTTTTCTGATATTAGATCTCTTCATAAACTACCAGCAGAAGAACCAGATGGAATAAAATAATAATAATAATAAATGCAAGGAAAGTATGCTAAATCAATATTATACCACTAAACTTATTTGGATGCCCAATAAACTTTGTCAAATGACTAAAAAATGCAAAGATAATGGCTTGAGATGTATGAAGTAATACCTTGTGATAGGGTGGAATGGTGATCTATTATTTGATATCAACTTATCTCCCTTGCTCAGTTTAAAAATATTTACAGTTAAAAGTGTGAACTCCAGATTGAAGTATTTGATATGTAGCTATTCCTTTAATTCCTTGATTTAAGAAGAGCTTGCACCACGCCTGATGATGATTGATAAGATGTGCAACTTATTTGAAAAAATAATGTAAATAATGTAAAAAAGGGTAAAAGTATAAAAAATATAACTCGGTACTCGCTGCAGTGAGTGACAGAGAGCGCATTTTCTCGTTGACAAAAATTTGAGGTCACGGACGGACGGACGGACGAACGGACAGACAGACAGACAGACGGACGTGGCGAGCACAATAGTGCATTTTTTCCATTAATGAGAAAATGTGCTAAAAATAGTAAAGCTCTATGCAAGGGTTGGGATGTCAAATTTCTATCATAATATGAAAACCCTTATAAACGTCTCTAAAATAACTTTATTTCTTGCATGAATTTTGTGTCCGTTTGGTTGGTATTGAAATTCTGATATGACTGAATAAATCTTTTGTAAATTAGATTTGTTCCTTATCATACATATCTTCTAAAGTAACTATATCAATGACTTTTTTCTATTATCTCTGCATAGATTAAAGATGTTCAATGTCAATTTTGAACTTTTCCCACTGAAATGGCATTAAAAATTTGCATAGATGAACTTTGACCAATTTAATTGAACAATTTTCACACAAGTAGTGTTATTCTTTGAAAATTGTAAAGTGTGCTCCACTGTGAGAAATATCTACCATACTAGGAAAATTATAAAGCTTGCTACACTTCAAAACCAAACTTGATGATGAAAATTTTTGTCGGGATTAAATTAACAGAAAATTCTTTTACAGGAAAATGACCGACACTTGCAGCATGGCAGCCATGCGGGGCAGTGACCGGTCAGCAGCGGCTGAACTCTTCTTCAAGACAGGGAACTTGGAGAGTGATGATGCGGGTGATGTCATCATTGATGAGGACATGCTTGAGAATCCTGAAAACTCGGATGATGAGGTGAGTGATGATGTGGGTGATGTCACCATTAACGATGACATGCTTGACAACTCTGATGATGGGTGAGTGATGATGTGATGATGTCATCATTGGCAAGGACATGCTTGACAACTCTGATGATGGGTGAGTGATGATGTGATGATGTCATCATTGACAAGGACATGCTTGACAACTCTGATGATGGGTGAGTGATGATGTGATGATGTCATCATTGACAAGGACATGCTTGACAACTCTGATGATGGGTGAGTGATGATGCGGATGATGTCACCATTGACAATGACATGCTTGACAACTCTGATGATGGGTGAGTGATGATGTGATGATGTCATCATTGACGAGAACATGCTTGACAACTCTGATGATGGGTGAGTGATGATGTGATGATGTCATCATTGGCAAGGACACGCTTGACAATGCTCACAACCCTGACAATGATGTCTGTTGCTGTAGTGTCAGTTGCATAGTATATAAAATCTATAATGATAGCTATTGATGAAAGTATATACATCAGAAGTCCTATTGCTAAGAAATAGGCCTCTTTCTAACGAATGTTTTAATTCTTTATAATTTGTATGTTAGCTTCTATTATAGTTCTTCATCTACCTGCTATAAACCTTTATATCATATGAATATTTGAGTATTATTGAAATAAATACTTGAAACCTATTTTGAAACTGGTTTCTCCTTTGATTACTTTGTATGTTTCTTCTACCATTTTGAGATTAATTTTATTTTTTTATGCAATGATTATTTATTTTAAATTATTTTACTTGTTTTATCATATTAATTATCGTCTTACAAATTTGTTCATCTGTAATGTAGAACAATAATGATCTTATTTTCAATGTATTTTTGTGGCATATATTTCATGCATCCTTCTTGTCACTATTATGTTCTGTTGACTTTATATTTTAAATTGTGAGCAGATTGAAGACTTGTGAATGTCAAGTCCTGCTCACATATTTATCCCATTGTAACAATATTCTGTTTCTATACATCACATCTATTCAGGAGTTCAGATTTTGAATGTCAAAACACTGATAATTAACAATAATAAACCGTTGATGCTAACCATCCACTGACCTATAATCTGTATTGCAGATCCTTGAAGGTGAGATCCTCCTTGAAGACGTACAGGCTCTGATGGATGAAGAAATGGCAGAAGCCAAGGAAAAACAGAAGCAGCAACAGCAGCTTCTGCTTGACGAAGAAAGTATCACTGACAAAGATTTTGTGGACAGCCAAAACAACCATCAAGATAGTGACCCTAGAATGGAAGACTATTATTCTGACTCAAATGTTAATGGTAAAAATGTTCAGAAGGACCTTAATGCATCTAAAAAGTTTTGCTGCAATGATTGCGGGTTCAGTACAAATCAGCAAGCTGAGCTGTCCATACATGTGGCAACCAACCATCCCACTACAGAAGCTTTTGATTGTACAGAATGTGAGTTTACTGCACCAACGGAGGAAATCCTTAACAAGCACATGCAAGATTTGCATCTCAAGTTGAAACCATTTAAGTGTAAAGGATGCAGTTATGTTTCATCACAGAGAGTTCTACTTGATAAGCATATTATGCGCTTCAATCTTGGTCTGAAGCCCTTCAAGTGCATGCAGTGCGACTTTGCAACTATTTGGGAGTCATGTTTGGTGACGCATATCCAAGTCATCCCTCTCACAGACACTCCATTACAGTGTGACCAATGTGGATTCAAAGCCATGCATCAGTAAGAACTTAAGTCACATGTTGACCAGGTCCATCGTTCTCCTGAGGTTCTTATGTTTAAATGCAGCGAGTGCTGTTGTAAAGCCCCCAAGAGCTCCACCATTAGGATCCACGAACGCATTGTGCTCCACAAAGAGCAAACTTACTCTTGTCAAGAGTGTGATTACATCACCAAAACCCCGGCTGACCTCAAGGCTCACCAAATGACCATCCACGAGAGTATCAATCCTTTCAAGTGCCCGGATTGTTCTTACACGTCACTGAAAATCTCGCAGATCAAGAAGCATCGTGACAACGTCCATTTCAGGAAAAAGCCTTTCAAGTGCGACAAGTGCCCCTACTCAGCGCCCACCAACTCTCACCTCATGTCCCATGATCGCTCTGTGCACATGGGCATCAAGCTGTTCAAGTGCCATGAATGCAGCTATGCCGCCTCCCTCCAGTCGGGACTCGAGCGCCACATAAACGCCGTGCACTTGCGACTCAAGCCATTCAAGTGTCCTGACTGCAATTTCTCTACCTCAACTCCATCATACGTTGAAAAGCATCGCAATACCGTTCACTTGGGACTCAAACCCTTCCACTGCAACGCATGTTCTGTGCGCTGTGCCACGCAGATTGATCTTGAAAGACACATCAACTCGGTGCATCTCAAACTTAAACCTCATAAATGCCCGCGATGTTCGTTTGCTTCTGCCAAGAAGTCCTACCTCTCCAAGCACATCAAAGCCATCCACTTGGGGCTGGAGCCGTACAAATGTTCCTCCTGCACCTTCACCTCACTCACACAGTCTGCGCTGACCAAACATCGCAGCATCGAGCACAACTAGACCGTGCCCAACTACCTCCTCTAGACAACCAGACCGTGCCCCACTACCTCTAGACAACCAGACCGTGCCCTGCTCCCTCCTCTAGACAACCAGACCATGCCCCATTACCTCTAGACAACCAGACCGTGCCCCTCTACCTCTAGACAACCAGACCGTGCCCCTCTACCTCTAGACAACCAGACCGTGCCCCGCTACCTCCTCTAGAGTCTAGACAACCAGACCGTGCCCCACTACCTCTAGACAACCAGACCGTGCCCCGTTACCTCCTCTAGACAACCAGACCGTGCCCCGCTACATCCTCTAGACAACCAGACCCTGACGCTGCATTTTCTTATTATTAATTTTATTCCTGACGCATTAAATGAAGCTGTAATTAAACTGATGAGATTTTGTGGATGATTTAAAGCCATAAATGACATTTCCATTGTAATTAATATTCATATGATATTTTCTGTATTTAATTTAGAGTAGTTTACTATTTTAGAAATTATACTATTGTTCCTCCTGGTAAGTACTTGTACTAAATAGGACCTAGATGATGGAATAGTACGAGTTTACTAGAACTTCAAGTAACTTTTGTGCTGTGAAGTATACTTCGTTCATGTGAGTGATACCTAGAAATCAACTTCTCTAGATGCAAAAGACTATTTTTCAACATTGCTGTTGTTGCTTTAGAAATAATTTCTTCTCTGATTGAAAGGCTAAGATTTTTAGGAATTTTTTCTCTGGGAAATTTTTATTTGCCCTAAGACAATTTTTGTCTAGGGAATTGTTTTTTCTGCAGGAATTTTTTCTCTAGGAATTTTCTTTTTCTATGAATTTTTTTTCACTCTAGCTATGATAATTTTCTCTAGTCATTACGATTTGGCGAACTGTTTTAAGTGCGATCCATCTTAATGACCATCTAGAGACACTCTATATTTTTTATAAAGAGCATTTCCCTCTCTAGAAATATATTAATAAACTCTGCTTGTTACAATTGCCTCTGAAATTACCGCCCTGGATGTTGTTATCTCGGTCTTAATTGTTTTGATAAATTATAACTAATTAAGCATTTCAATGTAATTTATTTAATCATTTTCACCGCCAGCCTCAAGTCAGTGGCTTGAATTTGTCAATTTAGAGACAATTCCAATTGCTGCCTTTAATGTTAATTAAAAACCTGATTGTGAAAGTGTGTTTAAATGCATATTTGGTTTAAATTAATAAAATATTCTGCTTAATCCTTTCTAGTGTTTTTTTGTGTTATTTAATTTTCATGTCCAGTGCAGATGCTTCATGATATTGAGGTAGGTTTAGCATTAGGTATAATTGTAGGCTATATTGAATAATATAGTCTACGGACCATAACAGCTTCTGGAAGGAATAACATTGCGTACAATTGTAGACTATGTTGTATAATATTGTCCAAATTGACATTTCTTCTCGCTTCGAGTCACCGACATGTGGAACAACCTCCCTGATGACATCGTTGGCGCTCCAAGTATGAACGCCTTCAAGAACAGACTAGATAAAGCTATGTAAAAATATATGTTCAGACTTGAAATGCCTAGCACCATATCGAACCCGGCGGAAGTCTAGTAGCTATTTCAAACTATCGTCAGTCATGAAATGATCCGGTCAAATGACACGATTTTAGAAAAGTAAGAATCGGCGACAGGTCACATCAGGCCTACACTTCAGCGCCGACATCACTATGCTGTGCTATGCTACAATTATAAAGAGGTCTCAAGTATTCACTATTCAACTGTTTTATTGCATTTTTCACTACGCTGAAAAATTCCTTCACTGTTTGACAAAAAATTTCAATGTCTGTGAAATAGTTAGCTATTATCATTCATTTATAGAGACAATATATTTATCATGCGTACGCGTAAATGACTATGTGAAACATTTTTCATACAAACAGATATGACATAATTAAAATAAGTTTATGGCTACGAAATATCAATGCACTTCAATTATCTTTCCAACGAATCGATGGGTATTACAAAATAGACAAATTTGCCTTGATAAATCAAAACAGAAAACCCTGAGTACGGGGAACTAACTTAAAAAGAAACCCGTACGTGAGGTTGCTTAACATTTGCTTTAATGTAAGTTTCCATGCACCGGTGCCACTACATGTTTTGTTTTTTTGTCGTAATACCGATTTAAAACTGGTCGATATTAAAATACTGAGCTAGAAAGACGGTTAGGAGAACCTGCTTGAGTTCTGAATGTGCCAACTCTGGACAGTTTCTGTGACCGTACAGCATAAGGCCCCATCATCTTGTACATACATACAGCGGTTTCAGCGTTTATTGGGCCGTAGTACTGTCGCCGATTCTTAACATCACAGAACATTCACAGCTTGTTGCGTTCTCGAACTCGCAACTCACTGCTACAATTCTGCTGTGCTTAACCGCTCGGCCCCCTCGCCGATTCTGACCAGAAATTGTCGCAGATAGTTGAGATCAAACCCGTAACCCTCTGCTCCAATCCTGGTGCTCTGAACTGTAACCACTGGGCCACCATGTAGGGTACCACTTGGCTCCATTAATTAATTATAATTAATAGTAACATGGATGGTGTCTCATAATTATGGTGGCATGACAACGTTACCATAAACTATCAACGTAATGCGTCCTCTGTGGCCTGTGGCCTCAAATTAAAGAACTATTAAACGTGCACTTGTAACCTTATGACATCATCTCTGACGTCACCGTCAGCTGGATACCGCACGTCTGACGTCGACGATGAATGTTTATAAATGAATAAGAATGAATGAGAGGCTTGCATTTTCCGTTATTAGTTTTGTTAATGTTCGGGCCCATCGGTGTGAATAACATTAGGGAACTCTTCAGTAAATTGAAACCAATTTTTTAATAAATTCCATAAATAAGGAATACTGGAGGCCATCGTAAAATATAATTTACTCTGAGTTATGTAAAATTATTCAAAATAAACGAAGACATTAGAGCCATAATTAGTTTTCGAATGAAACATCTATTGTTGAAATACATACAAACAATAAAATTTACATATTTAATGTTAGAGACGAAATATATTCAAAGTTCAAAGTGGGAAAATTTTCTATACATCATGCACTTGTATCTACATTATTTATACCTGAAATTGCGTCATGTTATCAGTATCCATGTACATATTTCGACTCGCATTATGTCTATAGTTATTAAAATGATAGTAAAATCTTAAAAGATTTTTGGTGGCCGAAAGGCCAATAGAGCTGAAGAGAGATGTTTGAGATATTGTACTTTTTGTTTGAGAGATTGTGCTATTTTTGATTGTACTATACTAAAGTTATTATCGAGTAAGGGAATAAAATGCATTCTCTTTTCACCGATAAAAACTGAGGATGGAGAAAGGAGGAAAGAATGTGAGTTCTATGAGATAATATAAACAGGTTTTTCTTTGATTTACATTTTTGAAATATTATCCAAACGACAGGGTTGTCTAATTAAAGATATATAATCATTCCAAGCAACGTCTGAACTCGATATGAAAATGCCTGCCAAACTATAACAATATCAATCAAAATGTAGTTATATTAAATTTTTTGGTACAATAATAATAATAATTTGGTTTAATAATATAACTTCAAAATGCCAATCGAACTCGAATGAAAATGCCATCCAAACTATACCAAACTACACCAAGCTTCGTCTAGTCTGTTCTTGAAGGCGATCATACTCGGAGCGACAACGATGCTATCAGCTATAGGGAGGCTGTTCCACATGTCGGTGACTCAAAGCGATAAGAAATGTTGTCGCATGGCTGTGTTACAACGCAGTTTTTTAGTTTATAGCCGCGGCCCCTGGTGTTGGTTCTTGTTTCAAATTCTAGGATTCCTTCTGGGAACTTGTATAAACAGTGGGTATACTTGTATACTTCAATGAGGTCACCGCGCAGACGTCGAAAACAGAGGATTGGAAGCTTCGTAATCTTTAATCTTTCTTTAAAAGGCTTGGCTTTTAATCACAGAATTATCTTTATTGCACGTCTTTGAACACTCTAGACCAAATTTTTGTCCTTACCTAGCTGTGGTGGCCACACGACGTTTTCAAACTCCAGGTTCGGACGCACGACAGCGACAAACAACAGCTTCATCGCTTCAGCATCTATGTACTCGTAAGAGCGTCTGATCAGTCCAAGTCGTTTATTGGCTTTATTAACTTGAGCTTCAATATGCTTATATTATTTCAACTCATTGTCGACATTAACTCCTAAGTCTTTTTCAATTGTCGACTTCAACATCATCACTCTGTCGTTGCAACCGTGTCTTCTCATACTGTAATCTTGCTGTTCTTGTTCATGTCACGCATGATGGCGTGGCTCCGACGCCGCCCCTCCTGTGAACGCTGAAGGGCTCTTTTTGGACGAAGAAGGCGTGTTATCGCGCCACACAAAAGATATTTCCTTGTGAGACGCTATTTTTAAGAATGATGAGAGGCTTGCTCTGTGAAGAATAACAGCCTCGAGAACATTTTTCAAATTTAGACTTTCCGTTATTAGTTTTGTTAAGGTTAGAGCTCCATCGGTGTGATTAACATATGGGAAATTTTCAGTAAAGTGAAACAAATTTCATATATTCCACGCATAAGGTGATAGAAGACCCTCGCAAAATAATAAATACTGCGTGAATTGTGTAAAAATAATTCAAAATCGACGAAGACCTGAGAGCGATAATTAATTTTGGAATGAAACATTGTTGCGGGACAACTACCCTGCATATCATAAAGTTACTGGGTCTCTGCCCGGGGCCCTAGCGCTCGAGGATTAATCAAATTTGATCAGCGAAGTTACATAGGCCACAACGTATATTTGGATTACATGGAGAAACCACAGCCACGACACAAGATTTTAAACTAAATGTAGGTAGGTTCACGAGTGCAGATAATATACAGACATCATATACCGATATGAAGACATCATATACAGATATGTACAGACATTACAAAGTGGTAAGTCAGGCAAAAGTAGGCTGCCTACTAGCAATCTGCTGTTTCCCTAGACAACTATCTACGCATACTTTGTCTCGTCAGTCTTCGTTAGAGAGGTGCGGCGGCTGAAGAAAACTAATAGCGCGGCCAAAGCTGGCCCGCTGCAACATCAGCAGTTACAATAAATGTCGACAATAAAAAATATATATTTCATGTTAGAGACGAAATGTGTTCAAAGTGGGACAATTTTCTGTGCATCATCGACTCGTGTCTACATTAGTTAAACCTGAAATGGCGCTATGTCATCAGTATTCATGGACCTATGTCGGCGCACTCATGTAGTAAAATTCCTTTAGAGTTCTGCACTATCTCTGTAGTCACCAAAAGTATTTAAAAATGATCTCCGAATAATTTTTTAGCATTCCCCTGAATACTAGTGCGCCGACACCGGTCCAAGGATACTGATGACATAGCGCAAGTTTAGGTATAACTATTGTAGACACGAGTCGATGATGCATTGAAA